AGTTTTTTTACCTCGTCAAGCTGTTACGGAAGAAGATCTTATAGACGTTCGTGAAACTGCGAGTTTTATAAGAATCTCTTTAATGCTTCCGTAAAAGTTGTCGAAACAGAATTTCGTCTTTGGGTGGCAAAATGGCAGCGTGAAACAGCAGCAGGATTTGAAGTGCCCAACGATCTTTCCAAGATTATTAATGCCTGTGATATCGATTTGTACCCATCAATCAATATGTTGTTGAGAATTTTAATAACTCTGCCTGTTAGTGCAGCAACAGCAGAACGTTCCTTTTCAACTCTTAGACGTCTCAAAACTTGGCTTAGAGCAACTCAAAATCAAGAACGATTAAATGGACTCACATTATTAAACATTCATCGAGAAATTGATTTGGATGTTGAAAAAAATCATTGATAGATTTGCCAAAGTTTCTAAAAGACGCATTGCATTTATTATTTAAATATTTTGAATACTTGAATTATTTATGTATTGTTCTGTTGTTATTGTAGCATTAAAAACCCCAGTTTTTTTTTTTTTTTTTTCGAAAAAAAAAATATTAAGAAAAAAAAAATTTATAAAATAAAATTAATTGTGGGAGGGTCTGAGTCTATGACCCCCACCCCCAGGAAAATTTCTGGATCCGCCCCTGCTCCAGTTATTGTTTTCATTTACAGCACCAAGTATACTCCGCAAAATATTTCTCTCAAATATTGCAATATAACTTTCCTTCCGTTTTGTTATTGTTCAAGCTGCAGAAGCACATGTCAAGACTGGCCTGACAAGAGCTTTGCAAACTAAGAGCTTTGTTTTTCTAGATTTAAAAAATCTTCTCACCCTCTTTAATAATATTGTTAATAATTTTATTTTAAGTAGTTAGAGAAAATATTGCCAGATTTAGTTGAATAAATATTAGACCAAGTGATTATTGGAAAATTTAATAGGAATTTTATGAAATTTTTTACTGATAATTAAGTATGGATATTGCATATTATTAATTTTTGACCTCTTATAGAAAGTTTAAAAAAAATTCGATAATAATAATTTTATTTTTATTACTAAGTTTAACATTTTTACTATTTTTAACTCCTTATTTAAAAGTTCAAGATAGAATTTTTTACAGAAGATTAGATAAATATTGTTAGCTTTATCTGTGGGGTTAATTACAAAATTCTTTTGTAGTTGCTTAAGTATTCGATCAGTTTTAGAAAACAAATTTTGATATGTTACTGTTATTTAAATTTCCCTTATTATTAAACATGAAGTTTTTAAAATAATAATAAGGAGCCTATTTCCATTCTGTTAACATACCTGAATGTTAAGAGAATATATTTCATATCCTCAACAAAAATTATTGAGATCATTAAGAAAGTATTTTAGTATTTTATTAGCACATATATCGTAAATTAGTCTAAATTTTGTGAATTTTAACCTTAAATTTCTTAGTTCTAAGTATTCTATAATATTATTATGTATATATACTAATAGAATGAGTTAATTGCATGTTAAAATTATTACTTAAATTATTAAAAATTTATTTGTTAACAAAATTTATATTTTTAACATGTGGAATTCGATTCATATTCGATTCATATTCTTCCAATGTTTAATAATAAAAAAAATTTACAGTAAAATTTTTTTCAGAAAATGTTAATAATTTCTTAAAAAATCATCAAAGTTAAAATTTTATAAGTAAAATGTAACCTTTTATTAACTTTGAATTATAAAATATAATATATTATTACCTTTTGCACATTTGGTTTCGGGCCAATCCGAGGTAACTAACAAATCAATGGGGTTCTGTAGTAAGAACGCTCCATTAAATACATCCAACTGTCCTTTATTTACTCTTTTATTTTAATATTTTATTATCTAGTGAACTTGTTACGAAAATATTTTAAATCACTTTTGCAAGATGCCGGTAAATGGAAGCACATTTAAATTCGTTACTGGCTTTACGTGTTACATTTTAGGATTTATTGTGTACTATTCTGTATTTTTCTTGAATTTTTATAGTCTAATTTTTGCTTGATATGTTTTATTTTGTATTTTTTGCTTGGTTTGTTTTTTCTTCGTTTCAATTTTTTGGGGGTGTTTTTCGCTCTATTGTATTGATATATTTTGCTTTGACAATATTAGAAAGCACTCTTTTTATCGGACATAATCGTGTGAGCTGAAGACGAGATTCTATCTTTTCTTTATTTTGTTTACCGACTTTTAACTTTCTAACCGGAACATAGCAGGCATACAGCTCGAGATTGTTTTTGTTTACATTTCTACTGAAAATACCATCCATAAGTCTTCAGAATATATTCATGAAATATATATTTTCTTATAAATATCTGCTGTTTTAAGTTTACAGACGAATCCTGAAAATTATATTAAACAAGAGCTAGGGAGATTTATATCAAATCAAGTCGTTAAAAATTAAAATTACATCTGTTATTTGGTTTAAAATGATGACATTTATTTCACTTATTTCTTTTTAAATTCATTATTTTTCTATCTATAACAAAACTCTAGTAATTCTGATAAAACAGGGTTCCCACGATCTGGAAATTTTTTTAAAGTGGTAGTTAAAGTGAGGTGTGTCTTAAGATATCAATATTTAATTTAAAAAGTTTTTTTCGTTCTATCAAACATATTTTATTATATATTTCCTTTAAAATTATTGTAATTGTGGTATGTCATTGCTCACTGTTTTACATTAATACTTTCAACTTATTATTATGAAACATTTAAACATTTTACTGTTAAAAATGTAAAAAGATTATTACGCATTTGAAGTATAGTTAAAAAAAAATTTTGTTCTTTGGGATATTGTTTCAACGGGTAATTAAGTTTTTGAAAATTTCAGTTTGGCTGCATTATTTATAACAGTTATTAAAGTTATATGTAATTTTTATGAGCTCTTTGATGCCATATTAAAACGATTGGTTTATTTATATGTTTCCAGAAAAAATAAAAGAAGCTAATGAGGTGTACAGTGATCATAAACACTCTTTTATTGAGTTAAAAAATGTCGGAAATTTCGAAGACCAAAGGAAAAACTCGGTTTATATCCAGTTTTCACATAAATAGCGGATAGATCATCCTCTCTTGCATTTTGAAGATTATTATGTTTTAAGTGTGAAATCAGTTCTTCCTGAGAGTTATTAGGCATTGAAATTGGGTCAAAATTAGGAAAAAGCATTTTTGTTTGCTAGTAAAATCGATTTTTCTTTGAATCAATTTTTATAAGCATAAAGAGTTCTTTTTCATGGTCTTAATTTAGTTATTTATAAATATCAATATTATAATTATAAATATCAATATTTTACATTATAAATATTTGTAACTTTTCTGAAAATTTAACATCTTATCTCTGAAAATTTAACATATTATAAATCTTGGGAAAGAACATAATTAGTTGTAATGTCATATTTTTGTAGACAGGTCTCTCGGAAATATTCACAAAATAAATTTAAGTATTTTTCAGTTTTCTTGAAAAGTCTTAAGATACAATTTGTTTATTTTTAACTGGCTTACGGGGAACCCTGTAAAATAACAAGTTCGAGCTAAAATTGTCATTTTTTTAGTTAAAGTTCGAAAAATTTGATGAAAGTGGTCTTTGTTATTTACTATTTTATGTTAATTCATTCCATTGAATTTAGAATATTTTTTCACCCTATTCTAAATTTACCTATTTTTCTGTATTTTTTTTAAATTAACGAGAGAGGTCACAATCAGTTTCAATGAAATTTAATGAATCCTGCTTTCTGAAAATATTAACAATACACTATGATAATTAATTCTTTAAAACAAGTGAGTTTATTTCGTTCCTTTCTTATCAACTTCCTCTTGCAATGTCCCTCATTCCAGAATGCTACTAAAGATCTCTACTAATCCATATCTCTTCCGAATACTGCATTTACCGTTATCGTGAACTTTTCTTTCAGTTCGTGATCGCAACACTCAATGGGCTATTGGCGACGGTCTGGGAAATATCTCTGAGGATGATCTAAGGACATGCCATCACTGTTTTGATCCTCTGCAAATGGGGAGGGAGGGCAAACCAGATTCGGTAGCCGACGACCTGCGGAAGTATGACGATGAGAATGTATTACGATGTTTTCTTCCTCCACAATACTTTTCGCATTTAATGACCAAAAATATTTTCTAAAATTTCTACAACGCTTTCTTTAGAACTAATGTTTAGTGCAATTTTGAGTTTCATATAACTGCTTAATTTAAAATATTTTAATCTGTTGTTAAAATGTTTTAATCAATACGAAACTAATGTACTTCCTTCTTTTGTGACTAGCCCCGCAGTGGACTGATCGTTAAGACAATGTTCTCAGCAGATCACCGCAGTCAAGCATCACTGGCTACGGTCAGTGTGCGGGTGGGTGACCACTTGGATCAGCCTGTGTAGGGACCGAGGGTGTGCGGTATTGGTACTCGTTAAACTGTTCTACCGTAAAGTGCTCGAATTCGCATGCAGGTCGTCGGGCTACCGAAACGGGGGTGCCATCCCCTCTACAGAGGATCAAAATTGTGATGGCATGTCTTCGGATCATCCTCAGGGATGATTCCCAGACCGTCGCCAATAGCCCATTGTGCAGCTCTAGTGCGACGTAGATGAACAACAACATCTTTTGTGACTATTCAAACACTAATAAGGAAAGCTTTTGAAGTGTTGCCATATATAGAGAGTTCTGTGGCTCATTTCGATTGCCAATCCCACAAACCGTTTCTGACTTTTCACAGCAACTTCCTGCTATCTATTTAGCCTCAGTCATAAGCTTAATTAATGGAAATACAGAGCTATAATCTAACGCGAAGAGCTCGTCGCTCAGTTCGATATTCGCTGAAACGAAAAAACATTTTAAAATTAAAGGGGGAAACACNGCAGGTCGTCGGGCTACCGAAGCGTGGGTGCCATCCCCTCTACAGAGGATCAAAATTGTGATGGCATGTCTTCGGATCATCCTCAGAGATGTTTCCCAGACCGTCGCCAATAGCCCATTGTGCAGCTCTAGTGCGACGTAAATGAACAACAACATCTTTTGTGACTATTCAAACACTAATGATGAAAGCTTTTGAAGTGTTGCCATATATAGAGAGTTCTGTAGCTCATTTCGATTGCCAATCCCACAAACCGTTTCTGACTTTTCACAGCAACTTCCTGCTATCTATTTAGCCTCAGTCATAAGCTTAATTAATGGAAATACAGAGCTATAATCTAACGCGAAGAGCTCGTCGCTCAGTTCGATATTCGCTGAAACGAAAAAACATTTTAAAATTAAAGGGGGAAACACTTTTATATATCCTTTAAGTTTTCAATCCTTAATAGATTTTTAATTAATTTAAAATTGCCTTTATTGAAACGAGAGTGCTGCTTTAGAACTATTTTACATTATTTTGAAGGATGATTTAAAGTATAATATGTTTTCGAAGATGAATTCGTCATGTTGGTGAGAAATAAGAATATTTTCTTTCTTACATTTATTGTTTTAATAGCACATTAAATTTTTGTTTCAGATATCTTCTGAATGAATTTGTTTGACTATTAGTTTTATGTTCATATATATATTCCCGAAATTTTTTTTTTATTATATATGTATTACCTAATTCTGTTACTATCCTTTTTCCTCCCTCCTACTCCAAATTATATTTTGTGCTCAGCTGGTTTTTACGAATTTAAACTTCAAATTTAACTACAAAATAATACCTGAGTAGGTAAATTTTATTGATATTTTTTCTTTTCTTTATACTAAAAGTTTTCTGATAAATTTTATATAATTTTTAAGTGTTTATTTAAAATGTACTCTTAAATTTTTTTTAGAAATCAGCAAATTTTATCAAAATCTCAATTGAACTCGTTAGTTTATAAAACATATTTTATGAAAGTCGTTGCTTTACTCCTCTTTCATTTTATTCTAGTCTTTTTTAGTTTTGCAATTATCCTACATTATTCATTTTTAAATTGCATAATAATATTGCTCTATGTATTGAAAAGTTATATTTTCATTTGAATTATGTGGCAATTATAACTTTAAAAAATATATATATTATTTCTTATATTAAAATATTTGGTAAAAGGGTCATTCCAAAAATAAAGCACACCTTTATAGACGGACACTTTATCTTATTATATTTCTTGTAATTTTGTACGAAAACAAAATGTCAACATTAAATAATAAATTGCAGATTTTATTTTCTTTAATATGATTCTGAAACTTTGAAGAATTACTTTCTTTTTCTTGTATTCTAATTGGGTTATAAAAAATTGTATCCTGAAAAATGTTATATCCCAGCAATTTATTTAGCTTTTTATATTATATTTCTTTTATATAATATGATTTTTGAGTTACAATGCATGGTCCATACTATCAGTGTTCCTATATTATTCCTTGCTAGTTTTTTTTTTATTTATTATTTTTGATGACTATAAATATCCCTAAAATTCCCTATGCTTAAAATATTTAGTACATTATGTAACTATTATCATGAAATTTATATTATTTCGTTCATAAATTTCAATTTTATTAACACTAAACCTTCAAACGCTTAATACAGTACAGAACCCGTTATCCGGAAATCAGAAAACCAAAAAACCGGAACGAAATTCGATAAATNTAATAATAATAGAATCTTAACGTTATACACCCAGCTTGGCGATCAATCGCGAACACAACTTGGCGGGGGGGCACCCTCAAGTATAGTCTACCCTGATTCTGAAACTTTGAAGAATTACTTTCTTTTTATGTATTCTAATTGGGTTATAAAAAATTGTATCCTGAAAAATGTCATGTCCCAGCAATTTATTTAGCTTTTTATATTACATTTCTTTTATATAATATGATTTTTGAGTTACAATGCATGGTCCATACTATCAGTGCTCCTATGTCATTCCTTGCTAGTTTTATTTTTTATTATTTATTATTGATTACTATAAATATCCCTGAAATTCCCTATGCTTGAAATATTTAGTACATTATGTAACTATTATCATGAAATTTATATTATTTTGTTCATAAATTTCAATTTTATTAACACTAAACCTTCTAACACTTAATATATACCTATTTCTACCATAGTTGGTCAAATGACTGAACTTAAAGTTTCTTGATTGAATGTATGAAATATGGATGTTAGGAAGGAACTAAACTTAAAAAAACTTAATTAAATAAAATTGTATATTGCCAATTTTTATGTATTACAAACACAAAGAATAAGAACTTTCAGTTCATTGCTCAATGCATTTTTTACATACATAGGGTGTTTCCATTGTATATTTTCCGCAAACATATTTCTTTTAATTATAATTATTTCTATGATTCTTATAATTATAAAAATATATAAGAATTATAAATATTCTTATAATTAATATTATTTCTTCTAAGAAAGTGTGCTGTCTTGATTGTTTCAAAATTTTTCTGGGTAAAACCGTAACAGTTGGTTTGAAATGAAGTAAAGCTATCAAAATAAAATATAAGCTTCTCACCAAAACATTTAGCTTTTGTCACTTTTTCTGACACAAAAATGCCAATCTAAAGTTTTAGGTACTTTCTTGAAATTTGAATTCACAGTTATTTTGATTAAACTCTATACACAACAGTCTTTGCAGAAATATGCAGCTAATCAAATGCATTACGTTAAACGCGCATTACATCGTCATTTCTGATCCGATAACCTTATAAAGCAATAAATTGTTCTCCTGGTCAAATGACTGGTTGTGGTAGAAATAAGTACATGACAAGTATTATTTGAAACAAAAAGAATACAAAAAATAATAATAATAGAATCTTAACGTTATATAATGATAAGCGCATTTTTGATGCAAAAGTTCTTAAACGGTCATTTGACGGGTTCTGGTATGTTTAGTGTTAATGTATAAAATCTACTGGATTTTTTCCTATCCATGTTGGCATCTATGTTTGTACGTGCTTTGAAATGTGAAATAAATGCTCATTTAAATCACTAAATATAGAAGTATAATGCATATTCTTTATGCTGTATATTCTCTGTTTCTTTTTTCCAATTGCAGATCTTTTAATAGATGATATTTTAACCAATTATAGAATTTTATTTTATTTTAAATTAATATTTCTTATTATTTACTTTTACAGGAATGTGGCAACGCACAGTTATTGCCCAGTGTCCATTCCTCATTCGATCTCTTTTGTTTCAAGAATGCCTTCAGAAAGTGAATGTGAGAAATGCAACATTCATGCCCTCCTTATCTATGCTTCGAAAACCTCTGTCTTTGGAAAATGGGGAAAGACGAAAGCAGATTGTGGTTAAGAAAATTGAATGCCCTGATCGTGGTAGAAAGATGATCGAGATCTATCCACCCCCTTCTGTTATGGAGTCACAGTCTACTTTGTTACCAGTGAATTAATGTTTTTTTATTCTATAAATATAATTAACTGAATAGTTTTTAAAAGTTATTTCTTGTTAATAACATGGAATATAAATTTAAGAAGATTAAGATTGTGGTTAAGAAAATTGAATGCCCTGATCGTGGTAGAAAGATTAGATAATCAATATCTATTCACTCCCTTCTGTTATAGAGTCACAGTCTACTTTGAATTAATGTTTTTTTATTCTATAAATATAATTAACTGGATAATTTTTAAATGTCATTTCTTATTAATAATTTAGAATATAAATTTAAGAAGATTAAAATTGTGGTTAAGAAAATTGAATGCCCTGATCGTGGTCGAAAGATTAGATGATCAATATCCATCCACTCCTATCTGTTAGAGAGTCACAGTCTATTTTGTTACTAGTGAATTAATGTGTGTTTTTTTATTCTATAAATATAATTTACTGAATAATTTTTAAAAGTCATTTCCAGAAATCCAAGATCTTGAAGTTTCCAGAAATCATCAATCACATTTATGTATAAAAATTCTTGTACATTTCATTTAAAAATATTAGAACTGAAACTTGTACTTAGCATCTTTCATTCGTAAATATTTTTTCTGGTAGAATAATAAATGTGATTAGAGATAAACGTAAACTTATACATAATTATTCATTTAAATTATGCATCATATAATTTATTTAGAATTTCATGTTTTGAAGGTATCAATGATTTAAATTTATAAGGACATTAATTTTTTGAAATTTGCTATTAATGATTTTACTAAAGATGTTTTCAGGATTTTCGAGGTGGGCTTACAATCACCCCTGCAATAGACAAAAGCTAAAACATCATACCATTTTATTTATTTTTATTTTTTTGCATCAATTACTTGTCCTAGGGACCACTGATAAAATAAATGTCCTGTGTACCCACATATAATTTCGGAATTCAAGCTTCTTCATGGTGTGTAGTGTTTTTAATAATCGCTTATTTTTGATTTTCGTTTTTTAAAAACTCTTAAAGGTGTTTTTTTTTTTTTTCATGGGGTATTTTTAAAAAGTGTTACATTTTCCCTTTTCGAAAATTATAATTTTTTTTCTTTATCATGTCGATTTTTGCTGCATATTATGCAAAAGCTGGGTTTTCATATTGTTCTATTCAACATTTTCACAATTCATTCAGCCATAATCCATTTTGACGTCGCTTCGTAACATATGATAGCGGCAATCATGTTACATATCTGATGAAATACTTGGGAGTCTGCATGTGCATCTACTGAAATGGATTCGGTGAGATTCTTGTACTCTCATGTGCAATTCTGCCGCATTTCACAAGATATTCTCAATTTCATTTTCCACCCTCTGAAATGGAACCGAAAAATCTCTTGTTCTCTTTATGGTGGCAAATATAATCAAAAAAAGAATTATTTATCAGAAACTAGTTATTTCATCATGATCATGTAAAGGCTTTGAAAATTATTTTGCATTTTGTTAATGTATGTAGTGCTTAAAAATATTTTTTTACTGCTTAATATTATATATATTTTAGATATAATTTAGCTTTACAAATCTCATAATAGTGGTGGTTATTTTTTTTAATACCTATTGGGTGACTCTGTGAATAAGATTTAAAACATCTCACAAATTGTGATGAGCTTACAGTGTTGATGAAATTGTTTTTTACTCATCTTGTTCATATGATTTGGCTGTTAACACTTGTAATTTTTTCAGGGCCCTGGAAGAATAAGGGCTTCTGGCATTGTTGATAATCCTGAAATGCTTATTGACTCACTATGTGATGAATCCGAAACCGTGTGTGATGCTCTCTTATCTGGTTTAAATAAATCTTGTAAGTGATATTGTAAGTATTAAAATTTGACTCACATAATTTGTGTTCCCCAAAAGGAATTTGTTTAATTATGAATTAAAATTGAATTCTATTCGTTTGAACAAAAGTTTCCAACTTTCAATTACCTTTTTTTTTACTTGATATTTATTCTTTCTATTACAATTTAAAGCTAAATTTTGTCATAATAACAAATATTTCTGTAAGTTTTTAATGTTTTGAGCATTATTTTATTTTGAATAATGTTGTAATTTATTTTGTATGAAATGTTTTTAATTGTACGTCTATTCATAGTGGCTTAGCTAAAGTTTTAAACAAAATGATGAATACTTCTGTTCATTAACATATTTTTAAATGAAGATAGCTTTTATGAACATTATTTTACTTGTCTAATTTTGTAATTTTTTTTGAAGGCATGTTTTGATTTTTAATCTTGCTATTGATCATAATGGGTTTCCTGAAGTTTAAAACAAAATTATGAATTCTTTTTCTCATATATTTTTAACTGTGCTAAGGCAGCTGTTTTAAATAATATTTAATTTTGCTACAGCTCACAACCCCTTTAAGGTTAAAAAAAAAAATTATGAGTTTTTTCCTCATTTCTGTAAGATGTATGTCCAGATTTCTCCTTGAAAATAAAAAAGAGAAGGATGCTGGCATTTTGACTTTTGAAAGGGTGTATAGCGAATACTAAACAAAGACTTCTAAAGATTCAATATATATCAACAAAGAATCTTACCTTGTTTCGGCTTCTTGTTCTGCCTTCACCTAATATTCTCTTCCAAGGTCCGGGGCTCTAGATAACTAATACACTTAGGCTGAAAAATACTTCGCACAAGACGTTTAAGAATTAAATTTAATAATTAATCATGATGAAAAAAGGGAAAGCTATTTACAGTTGAAAAGAGTAGTACGTTGTTCATAACAAATTCATAGCTGGACCACGCTCGTGGAGAAAAAGTTCGTAATTGAATGTTTCTGTATTTGTCCGCTAGGGGGGTATCGAGGCATTCTCAACAGGGTGTTCGCTTACCACTTTTAAAATTTATCATTAATTAATTTATTATTAAACAATTTATCGTTAATTAATTTATTATTAATTATTGTTAAAATTGTAATATTATGTAATTACTGGATTTAATCCTCAACGATTTTCAATTTACCTCCTTATACTGTTTTATGTGTATATTTCAAAAAGTTGTTCTCACTCATTATCAAAATAACAGAAAAATTTGAAGATTTTGAAAAATTATTATAATTAAGCTAAAGACAATCTCTGTGTATAAATTTTCTTCAAAAAAAGTAAACTAAGGAAAAACAATTAACTGATAAACAAGTTTAAAGCTCTTATTTTGTATTTTAAACTTAAAATTACGAGGAAATGAACATTTAAATATGCAATTTTGAGTAAAAAGTGTTTATTTAATAAAATAATAGTAAAATTGAAAATAACTCAAAATTTCATTATCCCTATCCCCCCTATCCCCCCCCCNCCCCCCAAAAAAAAAACTAATAAAAATTTAATCAGTTGAAAATAATCTTAACAAAATAAATATTATTGTAATTACAATCAGAATAAAACCTATAAACCCAAATGATTTTACGAGTATGTAAATATTATCGAAACAAGGAATTTTTTTTAATGGAATATTAAACTAAAAGTATTAAATACACATAATTTATCTAGATGTAAGAGTGAATATTTATTTAGGAAAATGAGACTTAATCCGTTTAAACTAAAACATTATAATAAGTTTAATTGATTTTTATTATTTTAAGAGAATAAATATGAAGAGAAGCTTTCAACCTTTTTGTGTTGAACTAAATTTTATTTGTTTAAATTATAGCTAATTCTTGTTGCTAAACAATTGTACTGGTCATTTTTAGATTTTAGTTACTTCCTTCTTTTTAGTGTTTTGGGGGAATGTACTTTTTCCGAAAGAAATCCCAACCCTGGTTAATGATCTAATATAATAATATATAACGATCTAATACTACGAGAGCAATACCCTGAACCAGAATGGACGAGAGTGTACACGGGGGTCTGTCCAGACATTTTGTGAAAGATCCGTTTTTCATGAAATTGTGAAAAAATTACTCACATTCTTTCAACCAGGGTCCGCTTTTTTGAATTTGTGCAAATAGGGTCCAGTTATTGCAAGAAACTTTTTCAAGGAGTTTTTTATTTGTAAATCGATACAAGATTATGCTCGGCACTGTAAAATTATAATAAAAAAATTTAATTTTCAAAAATAAACAGCAATTGCTGTTTCTTAATTAGCGATTCAACATACAAATATTTGGTATTTAACCTATACTACTGAACCCAGAATATTCATTTCGGACGAATAATGGAAGAATCGTCTGCGGAAGACAAAACTCAATTCGTTTACATCCATCTTTTTTGTTTTCTGCCCTGGGAAGGGTTTATTTGATTAACAAAACAATAATGAAGATTGGCAAAATTTGTGAAGGGTCCGATTAAAAGAAAAATCATTTTGTGAAGGGTCCGTTTTTAAGTTAAAATATTTTGTAAAGGGTCCGTTTTTATGAAAAGATATATTGTGAAGGGTCCGTTAAAGGAGCCAAATTTCTTCTAAACAGACTCCTGGTACACTGATGGCTCAAAAATACAAGACAGCAGCGGAGCAGGAGTACACAGTAAACTCTTTTCTCACAGCTCCCCTGTGGGATACATACTATATGTCAAATTTTGATGCAGAGATCTTCGCTGTATCGATAGATGTCATTTGAATATTTTTGAAAATTAATCCAGAGTATTAAAAAAAAAGAATTTGGTTTATAACCTGTCTCTCTGGTGCCAAATTTAATTTGAATTTTAACTATATAACTAGACAACAAAAGAAAAATCTTACTAAAATGAAGGAATGGAATTAAAAATTGGAAGTTAACTAATTATCAATAACTAGAAATAAATCAGAAGTTACAATGGCCCCTTCAGAAATCTATCAAAATTGTGTTGCTAAATACAAATCTAATTTAATTGAACCTAATAACATGTACCAATGTTGTTGAAACTTTGTCAAAGCCATAACCTGTCTGTCTGGTGTCAAAAGTCATTTGAATTTTAACTATATAACCAGGCAACAAAAGAAAAATCTTACTAAAATGAATTTTTTTTTTTAAATTAACTTTTGTATCTTGTGATGCAATAAAAAAACTCTTCCCACCCCCAACCAAGTTTGCATTTATTTCAATAAATAAACATATATATTTTTGAGAGAGGTATAAGTTTTTAAGAAAAGTGTCAGATTAGTATTCTTTTATTTTGAATCAATTTTAATCTTCAAAAGGGATAATTTAGAATAAATAAATATATTACAAAGTTGACTGATAAAAAAGATTTAGCTTTTAGAGGATTATTATTTGCATAAAAATACATGTTGTTATACTTAAGAATCCGGCCCCCACTTTGATAAACTTGCAATAGAAAATGACTCACAAAAAAATTGTGCATCCCTACCTTAAACCAACTGTTGTTTCTTTATTAGTCATTTATGGAACTTTGTTCAATTGCAGCAACTGGCGAATGTCTAGGATTTAGATATCCACATAAAGTTGGAGAATATAGATGGATCTCTTATTCAGAGTTAAGTATATTTAACCATAATTGGAAAGTTTTTAAAGTTGGAAAAGTCGTTGAATTAAACTTTCCATATTTTAAATGTTTCCAGTTTAAAAGCCAAAAATAATTAAAAATTAATAAGGAAAAAATAAGATTTTTCAATAATGTCTGGAATAATTTTATACATTACACTATTTAAAACTGATTAATCCAATTAGTAATAATAAATGTTGACAAATTTAAATTATTCAAATTGAAGAAAATTAATTGCAACCTAAAAGTCTAACTTTTTAAGTGATTGTAATTAATCAAAAGGTATATTTTTATTTGAGAAATTATTTTCTATTTTATTGCAATGTTAATTATGATCCTTTAATTTTAATTATATTTACTATAACATGAGACATATTAATGTAATAGGAAATACTTTCTTTATGCAGTAGTTCAATGTTTAACTAAATTTAATTTTGAGTAAAATAAATTAGTCTTAAAAATAATAAGTTCTAGACAAAGCACTTCTACAAATAAACTGACTTAAATGTAAAGAGTATTTACTATCCTGGATTTGCACTTTATCTAGAAAACTTTTATCAATAATTGTTACAAAGGCATTTTGATTAATAAATTATTTCTATATGTTTTCCATTACCAATGTTGAAGTTAATTAAATGTTAAAAGTTTCACTAATGTATGTCAAAAACTTTAACAATAATTGTTAGTAAGTTCTTTATATGTGTGTATGTATATGTATATAAATAATATATATATATATATTTTTTTTTTGCTCCTTACTCTATTGTATTGATTGACATATTTTGCTTTGGCGATATTAATACAGTATTAGAAAGATTTATCTTTTTCGGACATAATCATATAAGCTGATAACGTTTTAATCCTTTTTTTTTTTTTAATTTTGAAACTCTTTGCATTTTTTTGTTTTGTTTTAATAATTGTTTTTTTTTTTAATTCTTTTTATGAATCTCTTTTCTTATATCTTATATAAGAATAATAAATAATTTGAGTTTCAAATTACTACATAGTAATCATATATTATTTCTTTAAATTTCTTATTAGTTTTTGTTTTTATATTATAGGTTGTACAAAGAAAGAACTACATTGGTTCTGGTTTGATTAATTTGGGTCTTGAACCTTCTCAAAGAACAATGATTGGTATATGTACTAAAACTAGACCTGAAGTAAATATACTATTCATTCATATTATTGAAGTTCTATTACTGTTTTATTAGTCTTGCCTGTTACAAAGTAAAAAAATTAAAAAAGCTTTTTTCTAAAAGCTTAGAAAGCTGGCAATTTAATAAATCTTCTGAAATAGTAAAATAACTTTTCATCTTATGTGTTAGGTCTATACTAGTATATTAAAGTTTTTTTTATTGATCTGTGAATGCTGCTGACAAGTTTTTCCTTTGTCTCATTACAAATTTTTAAAATGTCGTTTCTTGAACTTTTAGCAATGTTTTTTTTTTTTCTAAATCCAAATTTGATATTTTCCGATTTTATGCTTTGAATGCTTTCAAAATTTTCATGATCTCTACAAACAGAAATATTCGTTCGAAAAATTTCCAGGGTTTCTTAACGTTGCCTATAAATAGAAGAGTGATTTGCTTTAGAAGAGAGAGATAAATATGAAAATAGATCACTTCAAATTGTGGATGAGGCGACTATAACTGATATATATATATATACGTATATATATNCCTTAGAAGTGCCAAATGTTGCATACCATGCACCTTTTTTTACCCCTCCTGAAATCTCCTGAATTCTTGTTAGGGAAACTCCTGAATGTTAATTTTGTTAGGTTGGCACGTCTGTATATATCTTAATAGCAATACATATTGTATTGTGAAGTTAGTTAAAGATGTACAAAACCTAACCTAGTAGTCCAGCAAAAAACTGAAATAATATTGCAGTCGTAAACAGGAGCGCTTAAAGGTTCATGTTTTCAAAATTTTGACACAAACTATAAGTTGAGAAAAAAGCAGCTTAAAAACTAACTGTTCATATCAAGAAAAAAAAATTTATAAAATTTAATTTTAATAATAAAGGAAACCAGATTTAAATAAAGTAAATTCTTTTGTTTACATAAAATAAAAAATACACAATTTTTGCCAATCCTGATTTAAAAAAATTAGTAAACTATTTTTTTTTCTTTTCAGAACTCAGGTTTTTCTTCATAGCGATACATGTAGTGGGAGCTAATTAAAGATGTACAAAACCTAACCTAGTTGTCGTGAATACCTTCTACAAATGCGCAACGGTTAAAAAATAGCATATTATTTACCAATAGACAGAGCCTTTGAATAACAGCCTTGATGAGATGTGTAATGCTATTATATGCATGTTTTGTAATAATTTTTATTAGTTATTTGAATAATATGATTTCTTTTCTTTTCAGTTTGTTTTGACCATGTTGGCCTGCTCTAACTATTCAATGGTTTTAGTGCCTTTGTATAATTGCTTTGGAACTGAAGCTATCTCACACATTATTTCTCAAGGTTAGTTTATTCATGGTGATTGATTCATGGTCAATGATTTCTTCCTTTAATATTTGTTGCTTTATTATTTCTAGTATGAAACTATTCTGCATGGACTTTTAAATTAGTTGTTGATTTAATCAACTATTTATGCTTGGTCTTTTCTTTTTAATATTGAATTCTTATAATTTGACTTTTTTTTCTTTCTTATTTATTGTTTAAGGTGAGATTAATATTTCCTCTTCTTTTGAGTCAGTTAATGAGTTTAGTTCAAATAAATATCTTGCTTTACTATCTCTTACTTACTTATGTTTATCATATATATTTACATAGCTGCCAACTCTTCTGGATTTACCAGTAGACTGCTGGATTTGGCCAGTTTCTCCTGGTCTACTAGTATATTTTAGGTTGGTTTTTGTATAGTTTAGAAAATTCCCTAAAACTGAATAGGGTTCCTTAAAAAAACCGATTGAAGTAGAATTTTTACACAACTTATTGCTTGCTTGAATATTTGAATAAATATTACTTATGGATAGTGCAGTAAGCATGCATATATATATATAATTGTTATTATTTTTTATTTTTTTAGTCTAAAATTTTCAGTTTATTTTTATTCAAAATTCCTTTTTTAAACTTATTTATAAAAAATAAAAACTCAATTCTCAATAATAAATTATTTGTTTATTAGTATTCAAAATTATGAGTTAACATAATGAAAAACATTACAAATTTTAGTTCATTTAATGTCAATCATAAATGGAAAATATTGCAAACCATTTATAGTGTTTAGTGTAATAAATGTGTAAAGAAAAAGTATCTATTAGTTAATATTTCTTCATACCAATATTTATTTGAAATTTGCAATAGAGTCCATGGCTTCTTTAATTGAATATTTTAAAGTTGGATTTCAATAATTTCAAAATGAAAACAACTATGAATATGTGTCTTATCATTATTTGTATTCAAAAGTAATTTCGTAGATGAACTATTAATTCAAACAAAAGAATATTAGTATTCCTAAATGGGATATTCTGAACACACAAATAAAAAAGATCGGAATAAAAAACCTAAAAATAAAAGCAATTAACAACAAGGTATTTTTTATCAGGAAAATCAGAAATTTTAAAGACAACTAGGAACTCTGATATTAAACTTAAAGCTCTATTATGTTAATATAAAATAATTAATACTTTATTATTGTACTAAAACTTTTATATTCAACCCATGTTATTTTCGTACCTTTTCACCGTTCCATTATTTTCAAGTATTTTCCCATTACGTATTATTAATATGAAATGTATGATATAGTGCCTTAAGTATATTATTATTTATATTAATTTAATGGATTAAAAAAACGAGATGTATTTTTCATACAGCCATTATCTCTTTTTAACATGCATTACTAAAATGAAATTTAAGTGTTTATTTGCATGTTAAGTGGAGTTGTAAAGTAATATAAAAACATAAAGAAATCAGTTCCTTTTTTTAATTATTATGTTTGCATGAAACAAAAAAGGATACATTTGAATTGTTTATTGTAAACATTAATAGTTAAATTTGAATGGTTTACTTAATTTCAATTAAAGGATTAAAATATTGTTTTAAACAAACTCCAAAAAATTCAATTAAAGCAAACAAATAAAAACGAAACTTGGTTTAAATTTGAAGAAAAAAAAAAACTTTTTAAAAAAAATATAAGCGGCTTTTTACTATCCTTATTGTGCAACCAATAACGTTTAAAGCTATTTGTCTTCATTTCATTGTGTCTAATATTATTTTATTATTATTTATGTGTATTTGCTTATAACAGCAAGCTTGCTGTAACAATGATTTTGTATGCTATTGGGAAATATCATTATAGCAGACTTTTACTGTATATATGATACCATGAATGACCAAAATCAAGAGAATGCAGACATTCACCAGTGAATGTCAGCAATTACATTGTCGCTTTAGTGAATGTGCAACATATTTGTTATATCCGATTTGACATTATTATATTTATTGGATATTTTAATGTTTGCTGAGGATAGATTAGGAGAAACATCAGTGTTCAGAGTACCGGTTCTGAACTTCAAAAAAACATTGATGTAGGACATACCAGGCAATTGTATACCGATCAATTTCAGTTAACTGGACCTATTATATATTTCAGACATTTACTAAAGCAACTATGTGATTGTCATCATTCACCGGATGGAAGTCAATAACCACCAATATCGGTCATATGCATTTTTCTAAAAAAAAAAATTTTATATAATAAGTTTTCGAATCTTATTATTAGTGGAAATGGAGGCAGTGATTTGTGAAACTCCAGAACATGCTGCTGGAATAATTAAAAATCAAGAAAAGTATCCTAAACTGAAGCATATTATCTTGATTGATGATGATGAAGATGAATTGAAGAATAGTGGAAGTAGATTCAATATCATGAGTTTGAAAGAACTTGAGGTGCATAAATATTGAATACTTTGAATGTTGAATTTTGTTTCACATATTTGGTATAATATTTAAAATTGTTTTACATAATATATTTGTTCTAGTCTACATTGTTTGTTAGGTTTACAATATTTTTATTTCTAAGCACAACTTTTTTTTTATTGAATAAAAAAGTTAAGTTAATTAAAAAAAATTAATAAAGTTAATTTTGAGTATCTTTTAGCATTAAGTTTAAACAATAATAAAAAAGAGAATACTTAATATTTTATACTATAATGTATACAAACTATTATAGATATCTGCAACTTATAAAAGAAAATGTTCGTGAATTAACTAAATCAGTTATTGTTCTTATTAATAAGAAATTAGTTTATAAATAATCTTTTCAATATTAACACTACCTTGTAAAGTTTTATTTGCTTAATGAATTATCAAAGAAGATTTTTATCTTGTTAAAGATTTGACTTTTAGTAAATTGAAGTTAAAGTTATAAACATAAATGAAAATATTCTCTATTTTCTAAAATATATATCGTCAGTTATCAGTTCAGCCTTTGTCCGTTTCAACTTTTTAAGGCATAATAGCTACCTACGAACTAAAAGATTTTTTTTTTTTTTTTTAGCAGGAATAAAAAAATAAATAAAAACATTTAAAAAATCAGTTATCAGTTCAACCTTTGTTCGTTTCAACTTTTTAAGGCATAATAGCTACCTACGAACTAAAAGATTTTTTTAGCAGGAATAAAAAAATAAATAAAAACATTTAAAAAACGATTTTCATGCATTTATTAAAAATATCATTGCTTTAAATGTTTTTCAGCTAAAAATGTTCATGGAACTTATAATGGTCGCTTCTAGACCAAGGTGATTTAAATGTTTGTAGTGACAATTCATGACTGTAGAAAATTATCTTAAGTCAATTTCACTTCTACAAAATTATTTTAAAATTTGGATTTTGGATGATGGTCCGTAGCTCCAAAACATTTTTCAATTGAAGAATATTGATATTCTTTTCAATTGAAGATCAGTATTCTTCAATTGAAAAATATTCAATTAATTAGGTACTGCTTGAATTTTATTGCTAATAGATTATTTTATTATTATATTTGTAGTACCTTGGTGTCTGCAATTTTATTAATTCCAAATATGTAAAAAAAATATTTTTAATGTAGAAGCAAATTAAATTTGTGAAAATTCATATTACTTTGTAAGTTTTTTTAAATATTTATTTTGTAATATATATATAAATTATTAGTATGTATAAAAATTAGTTTTAATATATATTTTGTCATTAAAATTAATTGATCATTTTGTAGTTACAGGGATGAGATATTTCCGCTTTTTAGCTGATTTTCGCTTTTTTCACTTTTATCTCTTGAATTTCAGCTTTTTTATCAAAAATTCAGATTTTTCTAAAAATTTCACTTTTTTTATAAGTATTCCGCTTTTTCAGAAAATTCACCCATTTTCAAAGAGAAACAGAAAATTCAAACTACATAGCTACCAATCCTTTCTCATTTTTACTTATTTTAGCTATTTTCTCCCCTTTTACTCGCAGCAGATAAGATTTTCCAAATTTTTTACACGCCCTCCAGATAGATCCGATTTTTGTAGTTCAAACGACGTTGTTTCTGACAAGCCTTTTAGAGGTCCCAAACCTGGAATCTGCCAATATCTCGATTCTTATTCACACGATTTTAATATCAAACATAGCTTTTCATATTTGCGTGTTGAGATTCTTATTCGCGTGATTTGAATATTGTACATTGTGATGATTCGTATTTACGCCTTTTTAAATACCTATGAAGCGATTAGTTACAAGTTTAAAATTCAATGTCTTGATTTGCTCATGCTTTTTATAATATCAAACATTGATTTTCATTTATACGTGATTTTAAAATAAGGCATTGGGATTCGCATTCACGCATTCTAAAAATTATGCATCATAATTCTTATTTATGCAATCTAAAAATTACGCATCATGATTCGTATTTACGCGATCTAAAAATTATGAATCGGGATTTGTATTTACGCGTTTTAAAAATTCTATATCCCAGTTTGTATTTTCTCATTTTCAAAATCGTATATCTAGTTTCATATTCATGTGATTTCAAAATCCATAATTGTTATTCATATTCACACAATTTTAAGATCAACTCTCGCGATTCTTGTAAGAAGTAAATTTTTTTTAAAAATTAGTTACTATAAAAGTGACTGTTTTTCTAACGACGATTATTAGTATGTATATGTAAGTGTTACAACATCAGAGAAACTGGAAGGGAATATATTCAAAACTTACATTCTGTGCTAGCAAAGAAGAAAAAATAGGATTTGTCACAAGATGTTTGAAAATGGACTAACGACTAAATATAGCAAACATAAAAGATATAGCAAACAAAAGCAATCACTTAAAAAGGGATTTAATTAAAAAAAAATTTTGGGGGAAAAAGAGTTAATTAACTCATCATCAAAATTTTATTTATAATTGCTGTTATTTATGCTATAAAATGCAAAATTCTTATCAAATAAAAAACAATTATCTAAACAGTTGCTGATTGTCATGTAATTTTTCAAACTAAAATAGCAATTTTTGTATGTTAAGGAGTTACTATATATTTCTACTTCACTGTTATTGATATGTTTCAGAGGGCTCTAGTTAGATTAGACTATAATATGAACATAATGATTCGGTCCATTGTTAAAGTTTTTTTTTCCAATATAATTTAAAAAGTAATATTACTGATATATTTGCTATAAATCACATAACAGTATTTATTAAAAGAAATGAAATATTAATGTATATTCTCAGTAGTTTTAATTTGCTAAACCAGGTAGTTTTTCAAGTAATAATTGTCTCTTATGTGAACTGAGGAAAAATATAATTTCCAGCTTTATTTTTTCATTTGGTAATTTTTATTTTCACTAAATGTTAAGTATCAATGTAGTCGTTTTTATAATAATAGATTAGTACGCAATTGTATGTCAACACATTATTTATTACCTTAAACTGTCTGGAATTTATTATTAAAGGGCTATTAAAATTTACTATCGTGGAAATTCAGCTTTTTTGCCTTTTGGCTAATCTCATCCCTGGTAGTTAAAAATATTGTTGCTCACTTTATTATTCTTGGAGGCCAGTACTATCATTGATTATCCATAAAGTTTGGGTACCAAATTGAACATTTTTGGAATTTTTGTTATTTGATACGAAAATAAGCTTCAAATGCTTTCCTTTTATCATTGTAAAAATAATAATTGATGCAAATTTTATTATGTTGCTAAAATACCAGTTTAATAGTAAAAACAAAAAAACATTTAAGCTAGTTTGATTTTTTATAATGTTATATTAAAATGTTTATATGTAATATTGAAAAGCTGCAAAAAAGCAATACTGCTTCCAAGTAATTGATATCATTTTGCTGTATTTATTATTTATTTTAATATCAGTGTATAATATATGTTTCTTAAAGTTGTACTTTTATCTTGTAAAACTGTTATTTAATTTTTGAGTGCATGACTTTATGCTGTTCACTTAAGATATTCTAATTAACTACTATTACCCTTTAATAAATTAGCAAATATGCTTTTTTTTCTTAGATCTCTGAGATCCATTTTACATTCACTTATAAAATTTTCATCTTACAAGATATTTCTAATTTTTTTTTCTTTTGTGCATAAAAATTTTTTTTTAAAAATTTCATATTTCATCAGAAATAACAATTTAAAAAACATATTAATTTTATTCTAAAGAATAATGCTTATGCACTTTAGTACAATAAATATATGCTATTTTTATTTCGATCAAAATTTAAGTCTAATCTTCTTTTGTATTTAATTTGCTAAGGTACAATGTTTTCCATTATTTTAAAATGTATAATTCTTTTTTAAACTTTAATTAAACTTAAACACAATTTAATTTAAACTTTATATTTCTTAATAGCTATTTTACTTTTCAGGCTAGTGGTAAACTTGATGAAAGGAAAGAAGTTGTAAGTTTTATTCTAGTTGTTGAATCAATTTTATTTTTGCATTTCTTTTATTTAAAATCATTTACTCTTTTGTGGTATCATTTTAGAAACCCAGAGCCGATGATATCTTCTGTTTGTGTTACACCAGTGGAACGACTGGTAAGTACGTTACTGTATCAGGTGTAATCATTTGTTTAAATGTCAATTTTTAATGTTTAAGAACATTATTCGTCTCATAATTAACTTAATGTGGATGATTTTAACATTCATTTACCTATAGTTGAGCTTTTTAGTTGAAAATTCAATTAATATTTTTTAAGAAAATGAATTATATCTAGAATTCTGAAGAAATAATAGGAATTTTGTAATAAAAAAACATTTTGTAAAAAGCCCATAATTTTAAACCAGAATTCTTGTTTTATAATGTGGGGACTACAATGACAATAAACTGGAAAACCTTATCTTTTTTTTAATTTCAAGAGAGATTTTATTCTTAATTACACCATTTGCTTTATAATAATTTAAAAACTTTATAAGCATTGTTTGTTTTACATTTTAAAATGTAATTTGTAGCTTTGTTGGCATTTTTTATAGACGAATAATTTCCTTGTCCCTCAAACCATTAAAATTTTCATCGAATTAACTAATTAATTTTAATTAACTTATTACTCAGGTTAAAAATTTGTTACTATATTTTACTCCCTTAAAATTTAGTATTCTTGTGTTACAAAAAATTTTCTTATTCTAAAATAATGTTATTTTATTATTACAGTGGAAAGTCGCGTATCCGGAATCTGCGGGACTTTCCGAAGTCCGTACATTTGATTTTTCTGTATAATTGACCTCCAAGGTAAACAAAGCTTAAAATGATCTGAATCTAAGAAGCAGAAAATAAATAAACATTATTTTTCGGGCAATAATGTTTTAGTATTAGAATGATATCTAATCAATCATAAACAAAATATTAGAAAAAAAATAATTATTGCTATTCTAAAAATAAATATAGAAAACGAAAAAAATTCCCAGTTATGAAAATATTAATTGCTCTCTCCACCATTTTGAACTAGAACGATTCAAGCAAGAAGGGGAAATTCCCGTCATTCAATAAGGTGGGTAGGTGGAGAAGAAAAATTCATTTCCTCCTTACTTGTCATTCAAGTTGAGGGCGGGGTAGTGACAAATTCTTATTTTCTCTCCCATCATTGGCTATCAATCAAGCATAAAGGCGTGGCATGCTAATTGGGTTCTCTTTATTTTTTCTTGTGTGACTAAAGGGGATTCCCCCTCCACTTTAACATTCAAAAAGGTTCCAGGAAATGCCTCTTTTACTAGCCAGCTGCATAGGAAAGAAGGGGGAGGGAGGGGACTCAGTTGTGCTCTTTTGAAAACAACCCCCCCCCCTTTCCTGCATTCCAGAGGAGGAGCGTCATGGTCTTAGTAGATCTTCTGTTCTCTTTTCTGTTGATTTATGGGTTCAATGCATAGATCTCTAGAAGCTGAGAAGGGGAAAAACCTGTCAAAAGACTTCGTTTTTTTTTTTTTTTTTAAAAGGAGAGGGGAAGATGAAGAAATGTTTGTTTATTTTGATTGTTAAAAAGTGTCCGGGAAATCGACCCTTCCGGAAAAGGGACGTCCGGATATGGGACGTTACACTGTATTTAAATTCTGACAAAACTAAAGAAAGAATAAATATGTAAAAACATAACTGATTGAACAAACAAAATTTCAATAGTAAAGTAATTATAGACCCTTTAGTAATTATTCCCTCTTTTAAATGCATTATAGGTAGGGAAAGTAGCATTAGTTCTTGCCAAAAACAGTTGTTGTTTTAAAAACTATTTCTTTTCTTTAGTTTAATTATCCTTATTTTATAAAAATAATGTATTTCTTAAATATAAATTAAAATGAATGGGACAGTAATTACATTCTTTAAAGAGAAACACAGATTTAAGATAAAATTAATCTCATTGACCCTGAAAGAAATGGTATTGCAATTTAACTTTATTGTTTTGTGGAAAAGAATGTGTTTTGTAACCTGGAAGTTGAATTTTTTGTGCTCTTCAGCCAGCAGAAATGCAACCACTTAGTTGAAATTTGACTTGCTGAAAGTGCCATTTGATTTGAATGTATGAACTTAATGCAAAATTTTTAAAATAGAAATTTTTCAAAATCCTAATTTTTTTTTTTAAGTTATTTTAATTTTAAGTGATTTTTTTGTGAAGTTTTCTCACTTTTTTGCTTTTAGCAATAAATATTTATCCATTGCTGTAAAAAAAATTAATTAACTCTCTTGAGATAAGTTTGTACTTAAGCTGATGATGAAAGTAACAGAATAAATAAAAGTGAAAAATTTGTGTTTTCCAGGTATAAATCTTAACATTCAATATAAAAACTTAATTCATGAGAGATAAAAGCTGTTTTTGATTTAAACTTTTATAAATCTCTTTAACGAGTGAAATTACTTCCAATTTATTTCTGATTATGTCACTCATTCTATATTACTAAGTATTTTTTTTTATGTTCATTATTGTTCAAAGTAAGGTAATCTTTTATTTTGTTGCAATTAACAGAATGCTCTCAGATAAAATTATATATTTTATTAACTAAATAATCTTTTCCTTTAAAAATATCAACATTTTATGGAAGAAAAAAAAATGACTATGGAAATTGGTGAAAGGAGCCTAGTAATGTATTAAAGTCCCGCAATGTTAGACAAAAAGAACATGGTTCCCAGGAGAACACCGAAATCAAGCATCACTGGCTGCTGCCAGTTAGCAAGTGTGTGACCACTTTATTCAGCCTGTGTAGGGATCGAGGGTGTGCGATATCGGTCCTCGTTTAACAGTTCTAACGTAAAGTGCTTGACTTCACGCGCAGGTTGTTTGTCTACCAAAGTAGGGGTGCCATCCCCTCTGCAGAGGATCGAAATTGCAATGGCATGCATGTCTTCAGATCATCCTCGAGGAATGTTTCCCATATCGTCACCAATATCCCATTGTGTAGCTGTAGTGGGATGTAAATAAAGTACCTACCTGCCTAATATATTAAAAAAGTTTTAAATAACATAATGGTTATAAAATATAATTTATTTCTAATTTTTTCATATTTCTAAAATAATTTATGCTAAATATCAATTTTGCTATAAATTGGAATTGATGTTTGTATAATTAATCATGTTGATAATATTCCAGGTGAACCAAAAGGTGTTGTGGTCAGCCATCGTAATGTTCTTTCTTGCATAGGCTCCTTGTCTACTGTTTTATCGGTATAGTATTATATTGCTGGTAAATCATTAGAAAATCATTGTAATTCTGTTGTATTATATTTAGAAGTTGTAGATTAACCATTGCATGTCAGCATTTTACAAACATAGAGTTGTTAGAGATTAAGTTAAAGGTATTTATATTACAAGATTATTCATCAACTTGTTTATTCTATTATTTATTTTAAAGCATTAAATATGTGTACAATATTGCACAATATTATTAAATATGAAAGAAATTTCTTCAATTACTGAAAATAGATTTTTCATTATGTTTAAGAAAAATTTACTAAATGTCGCAAATAGCATTATTGTTGCCAATAAAAATTAAAAACCTAGGCTTTTTAAGATTATTTTTATTTATTATTATTAATATTCATGTTGATACATTGCTCATATTAAAACATTCATTGATTGATGAGCATGCTTTTTCATAATACACAAAAGTAAAAATTGTTGCCATGATTTACCTAAGAATCATTTGTTTTATTCAGGATTCTGTGAGTAATGACACATTGATTTGCTACTTACCCTGTGCACATATCTATGAAATAATTAATGAGGTATGTTTTTGTGATTTTATTTATGTATAACATCTTTACAGATTTATGTTATTCAGTAATTTAGTATAATCTTTCATAACACATTTACATTATTCAGTAATTTAGTATAATCTTTCATAACACATTTATGTTATTCAGTAATTTAGTATAATATTTCATAACGCATTACNATGAACATGCTTATTCATAATATACAAAAGTAAAAAATGTTGCCATGATTTACCTAAGAATCATTTGTTTTATTCAGGATTCTGTGAGTAATGACACATTGATTTGCTACTTACCTTGTGCACATATCTATGAAATAATTAATGAGGTATGTTTTTGTGATTTTATTTATGTATAATATCTTTACAGATTTATGTTATTCAGTAATTTAGTATAATCTTTCATAACACATTACTTTTCTGATGATTATGTTTTCTATAATATTGTGCTTAACATAATTTAATAGGGAATTCATTATTGGATTAAAATGTACCAACGCAAAGTTTGCTTTTCATACAATTTCATTATTACGTGAAATCAGAATGTCTTGAAAAAAATTCGAATAATCGAATAAATGTTTGTAAAAGTTGAAGAAAGTTGTCTGAAATTTTAAAAATTTTTGAAATTGTATTTTGTGAAAAAAATATGATTGAATATTTGATATCAAATGATAGTTGGAATCAATTTAAATTCATGTTCTCTTTATCTAACTTTAAAATAAATCTTTGAAGTAGTTATACTTTTAAATATTATGTGTTGCATACCAACTTTTTCTGAAAATCTAAACCTAGAAAAGACATTTAAACTGTTTAATAATTTATATCTTATAAAAACTTATTGAGTTGTACCATCATTTATTTTTCTTGTGATAAGTACTCTTTTAATAATTTATTATAATCAATTATTTTATTATTTCTACCAAAAAGTTAAAATATTAAGCATTTTTGAAATAAACTTGCTTAAATGAGATTATACCTTTTATTTGTTCATTTTTTTTAATTTATGTTTAATATGAAACTTTTTGGTATGAAATAATGAACATATTAAGGTAGAAAAAAATTAAAATTTTTCTTCTTAAAACTATTTCTGCCTTTTTCATAAATTCTTATTACAGTATCAAAGTAAATTTTTAAAATCACACTGCATTAAAATGAAATTAGAAAAATTCTTATAAAGTTTCAGGACTCTCTAAAGTCTTAAGATGTGGTCTGAAAATATCAGGGAATTTCTATCTATGTTAGCAATGGTATATTTTGGGATTTTATGGTTATTTATCGTTCTTATTTCGCTTGATTTTTAATCTTTTTGTTTTGATTTTTGTGCAATCAGAATATTTTTGAAAATGCAAATGTGGGTTTTAAAATAATCTATTTGAAGAATAGAAATATTTGAAATTTAGATCTAACATCTTTTTTAATAATGCCAGTAAAATTTGCTGAATTCAATACTTCAAACTTATGAAATGTCTGTTAATAGTCTACATGGTTCAGGCCTACAGTCTTTTGTATTGTTCCAATTTTTTTTTAAAGTTCAGTTATTGTATGAAAAAGAAACTCAATTAATAATTTTTAATTATAAAATTTTAATGGTAGTAAAATCATGGGTCACATTCTTATTTATTTTTTTCAGTATATTCAGTAAATAATCTCTGTGGAGTTTAGTTGTTTCCCAATTGATTCATCTCATTTTAAAAATGATTATAATCAATTAGTTGTAAATTTCAATTCTCAATGAAGTAGTTATAGAATTTTTAAATGCTGATTAATTATGAGTTTTTCAGTGCTAATCAGATCTCCATTAATATAATTATAGTAGAAACTGTTAAAACTTTGCTCTGAACAACGTAATTTGCGACTTAAAAAATATCTTGTTTTATTTATTTATTTTTTGCTATAAAATTTACCATTGTTATACCTAAATGGAGCAAAAAATCCTTTTTCTAGTTTGTCAGTTGCCATTTTTTAAAGTATTCTGGCGTATGTATTTTAGTTTAAAAAATATCACGGTCTATTTGTAAAATTTTTGTCTTGTGAAGCTTTTATCATGTGAAGAATAAATACTAAGAAAATTCAGGGTGTATTTCTTTTCATTGCAGATTTTTTTTTTCGTGTCTTATAGAATAACTGTTTATTTAAAATGGGATGAACATTATATGAGAAACTACACTTAATAATATATAACAAATAAAGTTTGCTTTTTTTTTTTTTCATTTTTTAACTTTTTTATCCACAATCATGTGTCAAATGTATTATTATTATTTTTTTGTTTTTTTTTGTTTTGTAAATATAATTTAAATGTAGGTGCTGAACCTAATGTAATTTAAGATTTTTACTTTTGAAAACATTAAAAAATTATTTAACTTTTTGAAATTAAATCTTTTTACAGTGTCTTAATCAAATATCCTTAAAAAAGTTACAAATATTTTCCTAAAGTCCTTAAAATGGTTTTTAGGATAGGACAAGTGTGAAAATCTTAAAAATCTTTTTTTTTTTTNCCAAAAAGAGATTTTAACTGAGACGAAATGCAATTTCTGGTGAGACAATTTGATATTTTGCGAGTAGCATCCCTGATGGTGATTAATTATTATGAGTTTTTCACTGCTAATCAGATCTCCATTAATATAATTATAGTAGAAACTGTTAAAACTTTGCTCTGAACAGCGTAATTTGCGACTTAAAAAATATCTTGTTTTATTTATTTATTTTTTGCCATAAAATTTACCATTGTTATACCTAAATAGAGCAAAAAATCCTTTTTCTAGTTTGTCAGTTGCCATTTTTTAAAGTAATCTGGCGTATGTATTTTAGTTTTAAAAATATCACGGTCTATTTGTAAAATTTTTGTCTCATGAGGTTTTTATCACGTGAAGAATAAATACTAAGAAAATTCAGGGTGTATTTCTTTTCATTGCAGAATTTTTTTTCGCGTCTTATAGAATAACTGTTTATTTAAAATGGGATAAACATTATATGAGAAAGTACTCTTAATAATATATAACAAATAAAGTTTGCTTTTTTTTTTCATTTTTTAACTTTTTTTATCCACAATCATGTGCCAAATGTAGAATTTTTTTTTTTTTNAGGAATTTTTTTTTTTTTTTTGTAAATATAATTTAAATGTAGGTGTTGAACCTAATGTAATTTAAGATTTTTACTTTTGAAAACATTAAACAAAATTTTAACTTTTTTAAATTAAATCTTTTTACAGTGTCTTAATCAAATATCCTTAAAAAAGTTACAAATATTTTCTTAAAGTCCTTAAAATGGTTTTTAGGATAGGACAAGTGTGAAAATCTTAAAAATAGTCCTTTTTTTTTTTGTAAAAATAATTTAAATGTTGGTGTTAAACCTAATATAATTTAAGATCTTTACTTTTGAAAATATTAAAAAATTATTTAACTTTTTGAAGCTAGATCTTTTTATATCTTCTTAATCAAATATCCTTTAAAAAGTAAAATAATTTTCTTAAGTCCTAATAATGGTTTGTAGGATATGACGAATGTGAAAATCCTTATTTGTGAATGTGTTTAGCTAATGCTCTTTTATTAGATTTACTATCGTTTTTGTTTATTTAAGATTCTCCCCTTCTTTGTTAGATATTTTGCCTGTATAAAGGTGGAAGACTAGGTTTTTATAGTGGAACAACTGAGGATTTACTGGATGACATGCAGAAGCTGAAGCCTAATGTTGTGCCTTTGGTTCCTAAACTAATGAATCTCATATATTCAGCAGTATGTTACTTTTCTTGCATTCCCTTGTCTATAATTGCATTTTTGTATTACCCGTCTAATTTACTGTGCCATAAAATGTCACTGTTATCATAAATTAATTTTTGGCACTTTCATATTTTGTATTGGAACACTATCACTTATTTTTTATTTTTCTTACTTAATATAAAGTTGACCATTTAAATAGTATGAGTCCCGCAGTGGACTGATCGTTAAGACACTGTTCCCAGTAGAACACTGAAGTCAAGCATCACTCACTGCGGTCAGTGTGTGGGAGGGTGATCACTTTGATCTGCCTGTGTAGGGACCAAGAGTGCATAGTATCGGTCCTCCTTAAACTGTTCTACCATAAAGTGCTCGACTTTGCTCACAGGTCATCATACTACTAATGCAGTGGAGCCATTTCATTTGCAGAGGATCAAAATTGTGATAGCATTTCGACGGATTATCCGCAGGGATGTTTCCCAGCCCATTGTGCAGCTCTAGTGTGACGTAAATGAAGTACCTACCACATTGAATACTATGGCTCAACTATTACAGTTATCCCTTACAATTGAGCATTTACAACTCTGTAGTAAATGCTTAATTGCTAGGGCTAACTGTAAGGAGTGAGTTATGATCATTGATACAGTAGAGAACCAATTAACCGGGATGCTCGGGACCATCCCTATCCCGGATGTCTGAATTTCCCGGTTTTCTGGATCGGCCAAAAGTGCCTTTAATCGATGTTTCATCAAACCGAAATTACAAGGAAAAAGTTAAACATATTTAAAAATGGGGAAAAAAAGAAAACATCTCCTAAATTAAAAAAATTGTAGAAAAATAACATTTAAAAGGATAAAAACATTTGCAAATTTAGACAAGAAAAACAAGTTTAAAAAATACAAAATTTGCATATTTATTTTTTGATAACAATTAAAATCCCCAAATTAACTAATATAAAACAAAATCAATAATTAAAAAACGCAATATATTTCATACCTAATTATACTGGGGGGTTATAAGTTTTATACTAATATATAAAACTTATTAATCTAAATAAAAACAACACTTGAAAATTATGGAATGGAAACGATATTTAAAAAAGGCACTAACATAAGTATTAAAACCTCCAAGAGACAGGATATTGTAAGATAAACGGAATTAAAAAAAAAAACTTAATGATGAAATTTATGAATAAAGGGAATTAATTTATTAAGTATGAAATTTATCCTAAAAGAAAAAACGCAGTAGAATCAGAAAAACAGAATCAAAATCAAAAAAAAACTATCTTCTTTATAAAATAATTACCTGCTTTTATTAACAAATAATTATATGCTTAAATTAATAAACTATCTTCTCCTTTTATTTTATTTTTTTATTAAAAGACTATTTTTAAGGAAAGCAGATGTGATTGCACATCAAGAAAAACTTGCTAATGATATCCAATTTCTAAGAAATCAGAATTTATTCAACAAAAAAATATTGTTTTGTTAATTGATGTCAAAAAGATGAATATAACTGGTGATTAAATAATGCATTATCTGAAATAATAAAACAATTCACCATAATAAATAACAAAACTGAGTAACTGAAGGGGATGATTTAAAATAAATCTCACATTTCACCTTTAAAATCAATACTCTTAGCCAGATGTTTCAAGTTCCTTAACTCAAACATTCATTGCTATGCCTGTGCAATGCATTTTTCCCACCCTCTCGTAAATCAAAGAGAAAACGAAATCAGCTTGCCACTCCTTTAAGTTTGATTGATGGCAGCTTATCAGAAAAAGAAAATAAGCACAGGAGAAAATAAAACATTTGTCCCTTCCCTGCCCCCTCTGGATCTAATGATCTTCAAGGTCAGGGGAAGAATTGAAGTTCCTCTGGGCAAGTGAGGAGAAGAATTCCCCCTTTCCCTCTACTCAGCTTTAAGGATGAGTCAAATTTATGTTTTTTTTTTTTTATAATCGTTATAGTACTTTAAAAAGCGGGAAAACTAAGCAAAATTCTTCCCGGTTTTCAGATTTCCCGGTTATCTGGATACCGGATAAATGGTTCTCTACTGTATTATGTGATGGTCAATAACTTTAATTAATTCATTTGCAGTTTTTACTTGGATTCCTTTTAAATGTGTTTAATTCATTCTTGACTCTGATCTTCCAATTTCTCCAGGAAATATTATCTACACCTGTAGCAAGCATGTGATTTTTTCATGAATCATCCGAGTAATAGTTTTGTTCATGTAATTATAATTATCAGTCTACATAATTTTCAGATTTCATAACAACAACTTCATTCATTTTTTTTAATTTATGCATAAAAACTAGGTGGAATTTGAAGAAATTTTGTCATGATTAACATGAAAATCATTATAATAAAATAATTAGCTTTCTCAATTTATTCTTATGATTTGTAGGTTCGGAAACAAATGGTTCCATTTCCATTTAAAAGGCGTCTGTTTGAACTAGCTCTCCTTCAAAAGCAGAAAGAATTATGTCGGTAAAAGAAATTTATTGTTTTTTTTTTAGTTCTATCTATTTGGAACCATTATTAATTCATACTGATAATTAATTTTTTAATGCAGTGGCATTGCAAGGAAGAACACTGTGTGGGACAAGCTGATATTCTCTAAAATACAAGAACGTCTTGGAGGGAGAGCAAAATTAATTTTCTCATCTTCAGCCCCTGTATGTAAAGAAGTCATGCAATTTTTTCGCTGTTCCATGGGCTGTCTGGTAAGTGTTACTAATGAAAATACAGTCAAACCCCGCTATAGTGAACGAAATGTTCGGTCCCGTGCCTTGCTATACCTGTATAATGTTATTTTTTACGGATATAGTGAAGTTGGATATAATGAACTTTTTTCCGTCTTCGGCTGATTTTTTTAACTTTTTTTTGCAATAATTTTGAAATTTCTACTTCAAAATAAATACATATACCGATTTTTAAAACCATCTACAGGGGGGAATGTAGCGATAAGCATTTTGCAGATGATGCACCTGTAAGGTGTCAGTGGGATCAATATGCATTTTCTGTCAGAGGGAATGAGTAATTATTCATTATTGGTCAAAGGGTTGGACACTAATATGTGTTGATAAGCCCTCATTTCAACTCCTGTTTGCTCAGTTCAGTTAAAGAAATCCTGCAAAGAAGTGTCGCAAATTTAACTATAGCGAGCAGTAAACGTAAGACGTTCTCCATTGATGATAAAATGGACATAATCAGAAAAATTGAAAATGGATGCAATCAAGCTGGTATTTGCAGGGAATATAAACTATCCAAATCTGCAGTTTGTAACAGTAGTTCTGCAGTAATCAGTAGTTGTAATAGGCAATTAATAATTTCCGCTCATGAAAAAAAATTCAGATGGCGGAAAAAAGTTGAGAAAAGCAGATCACAAGGATGTTGAAGAAGCATTGCTGAAAAAGTTCACCAATCGAAGAAGCCACAATCTTTCAGTATCTGGACAAATATCAATGAACTTGCTGAGCGATTTTATGATACTACTTTTATGTAATTGAATGGCAGGTTAGACAGGTTTAAAAAGCGGAATAACAGAAATTCAGGAAAAATTATCTGCGTGTCGGGAAGTGTTTCCATATCTGATGTTGAGGATTGCTCATCAGCTAAAGATTACTATTTTTTTTTGTACGTAAGACGAAGAGTAATGAAAAATAACACATGTTTTGCTACTACATAATATTTTTCAGTCATTTATTTGAATAATGCGTAATAAAAGGGAGCAGTTTAGGAACCATCAGTTAAATTACCTGCATAACGGATGTAGTGAACCAAAATTTCGGTCCCTTGAAGGTTCAATATAGCGGGGTTTGACTGTATAAATATAATTGCTGTCAAAAATTGTTTTTCTTAGATCTGCTATTTCCTGTTTTCCTCTTTCGATTTTTTATAAAATCATTTTCTGTCATTTTTTATATTTCCTGGGGTGTTTAAAAGTAACCACACTGTCAATAATTCTTTTAAAGTCCGAAAAATTTAATTATTCGTATGAGGAACCATTTGAGCAAAAATATCATTACTGAATGAATTCACTGCTGACAAAAATTCTTGTTCATTGTGTTTTCAAGTGCATTCTTGCAAAAAAAAATTTATTTGAAATAATTTACCAAATTAATTGTTTTCAACCTTATTTTTTTATGTTTTTTTTTTTAAATCAGTGTTTTCAAACTTAAGTACAAAGGCTAAAGATTGTGGGGAAAAAAAACATTCTATGGCCTCTGGAATGTATAGTTTTACACTCAATGCATTGCATAGTATCAAAGGAAATTGTTAGATAATTTTGGTGTGCTTTAGGTATCAAATTTCAGTATTTTTCTTTTTGTATAAAACCTTTAATAAAATATACTTTAACTTTTATAATATGTGATAAACTTTTTAGTCATTCAATACTCGTTCTTTGAAGTACATAACTTTGTTCATGCATTGATAATACATATTTAATTTTAACCTTAGTAGAAACTAAATCATTTCATAATGCTTAAAAACAATTGCATATTGCTGTTTTGATGTTATTCACCAGCTTCACAGAGCTTGATGTTGTCCTGATAAGAATTTTTTTTAACATATCGCTTTATTGGAAATCAATCCATATATTATAGGCAACATATACAAGATTGAGAATATGTATAATATGAATACATGAACATTAAGAGTACACAACAATTAAAATACATGACCAATAAACAAGAACAGTGGAACTTAAGGATAACAAAATTATAGTGAACTACTGTAAAAGGTATCCGACAAATGGACGCACAGAAGTCCTTCAAAGAATTCATTAAGCTTCTAGCATTCCAATATAACTTAAGAATACCTCCAATACTTTGAGATTCTTTATTGAGTTCTGGGCATGATAGTAAGTGTTCAGCATTCGTTTTACCTGCTCTGTAGATTTGACATTCACTTGTTGGTATGATGCCAGTGCTGTTTAGATATATTTGCTAAACAATCATGACTGGCTTTACTGATGTGAAATATTTTGTGGTTATTTGTAGTCTTTTTAACCTTTTCTCCTGATTTTTGCGTTTGTTCAGAATGTCTCGTTTCCTACAAATACTAATGCAGGTTTTAAGATAATCGATTTAAAGATTCATAAGTTTATGTTTGTAAAAGATGCTGAATGGTAGTGCTTTGCGCTTTCGTGCCACGGGTCCTGGGTTCAATCCTCGGGCCAGGCAAGGTTGACTCAGCCTTTCATCCCTTCAGTGGATCGATAAAATGAGTTCATGCTTGAGAACTGAACACTGAGGGTTCCGAGTTCGGCTGACCACCCAACCAGAACATCTGCTCTTGCACCCAAGAACCCCAGGTCAAGAAAACTGAGATGGGCATGGTAGTCTTTGGCCCTCTATAGACTGTCACGCCACTATGTTTAGTTTAGTAATGATTGTAAAAATCACAAAATTTCACAACTTAGAGACCATTCACTAATTATATACATGTTTCAGGCCTATAGTCTTACCCACAAAATTCATTGTTTTAAACTTGTTGAGAATTCAATCATTTTATGAGAATAAAACTCAATTAACTGTAAAAAAAGAAGTATTAAATTTTAATGGTGATGAATGCAAGAGTCATGCGTTATTTTCAGCAAATGCAGTAGCAAATCTTATAGGGTCGATTTTTGTTGTTTCACAATTATAGATTTATTTATTTCATCTGATTTTAAGAATTATTGTTTCTAATTAATAATGCATGATGAATTGAGGGATTATTCAATAAATTATTTTTAAACAAAAATGTATATGGGTGTATTCACAATGTTTTCTGTTTGATAATATTGAAACTGTACTTTAAAATTATTTAATTTAAGTAGCCTTAATATAAAAGTAAGAAATATAAAAACAAGAAAATAAGATTACATTTAGCATGAAATAATCTATATCAGTATATATTGAAATTTATACAAGGAAAGACATACAATGGCCACTAGTTTTTTTACTGCCCATGGCAGTTAAGTGTAAAAAAAAGAATATTAATTAAAAGAAATCATTCTGTATGCATATGTAGCTTAAATCAAGAAAAATAGTAAAATATATTATAATTATTATTTTTTATGACTACATAGTTCATTTCAATTACATGCAAGTTATTAAAATAATTTTTTTTTCTTTTTTACTATAATAAAAGTTAATAATATTAAAAAATAAGCAATAACTAATAATTTTTAAACTGTGTTCATCTGCTTAGAATAAAAACAAGAATGTCTGAAGAACATAAAGAATATATTTTGGTGTACAATAAATTTAACTTTCAAAATTTGCATAAAATGTTTTTTTGAGGTAGCTCAAGAAAAGTCTGTATATTTTGTCTATATTGTATTGGCTTTTTTATCTGTATTTTATATATTAGGACAAAACTTATAGTTGTAAACATTATGATTGTATTGTTACTAAATAAATGTGATGCACAGTCTGTCTATATAAAGAACTCTTCTGGGTAGGGGTGTGGGTTAAATACTAAGAACAAGTTTTGAAGGAGATCAGCAATTAAAGAAACAAACAATCTTATTGTTTAAATATCAGCAAAAAGTTCCAGATTTTGTGGCGGGAGGAATTCTTTATATAAACTATATTCAACGAATTTATATTTCAGGTGTTTGAGGTCTATGGTCTTTCTGAAGTTGGTGCTTCTGTGATGACCCTTATGTCTGAAGATAAGACTGGTACTTATTTTGCATTATTTAAATTATTTCTTAAATATGTATGTAACAAATATTTTTTTCAGAACATGATTTTTTTTTAACATAATTTAAAAGCTAATCAGCAATTGTCAGGTTTTTTTACTCCAAAATGCATTTTCAAGGAGAATACAGTAAGCAAAACAAAACATTTTTTTACCAGCATAAGAACTGCGAATTAAGAAAACTAAAATTTTCTTATTACAGTAAACCATCTTAGCATGTATAAATTCCTGTTCATTTAATCAAAAGTTACTTTGAATATTTTTCTTTTATTTATTTATTTCACTGGCACTTTCTCTTTTTGTAAGATGGCAACAAAACAGGAAATTTTATCAATTTGGAAATTTAATTTAACTGTTTTAAAAGTCATGGAAAATGAATTCATTTGATTTTAAGGCACTTTACAAATTTAATATTTGGAAGAAAAAAAACATTTTATCTCGTTATAATTTTAACAAACAAAACTATTTTTATCTTTAATAGCAAGTATGAATGTTTTCTAATATGTTAAGAGTAAACTTTTGAAGACACTCAAATTTGACACTGTGGCAGTATGTATGCACTAAACAATGGTGCTCTCTTTGGTGACAAGACCTAGAGTCACGCTTGCTGATGAGCACCACAAGAAGAATTGATGGCAGAGAAAGCCAGCAACCAAGCAAAAAATTTTAACCTGAAATGTACAAAGATAAATTAATAATAAAATTTACGGTCTACAATATTTAAAGTGTTTGTAACCACCCTGCTTTGAATTTTCATGTTCTGAATGTTTTCCTTAATAACTCTTTCTTTTATGTCCCATAGGTTTTGTAGGTGCACCATTGCCTTGTAACCACATCAAACTAGTGAGCATCCCTGAACTATCTTACCATGCTGAAGACAATGTTGGTGAGGTAAGAGGATACTTTGTTTTACCAGTATCTTGTCCCTTGTTCGTTCGAATCCAGTTGGCTGTAGACCCCCATGTTGTAAGTGGTGACTGGTGCACGTTCAATCTGCACCTAATCACAGTCCTCCATGTTCCCATAACAAATTATACCTCTGGGGATACTGAATTGGAGATTGATCGTGCTTTTGAATTTGCTAATCACTTTGTATATTACATTTTGAGTCTTATTCTATATTTTCTTGACTTTTTATTTTCTAATTTTTGCATGATTGTTTTTTTTTTTTTTTTTTTTTTTTTTTTTTTTTTTTTTTTTTTTTTTTTTGCATTTTTTATTTTATCTTACAGTTTGGTGCTCCTCACAAAATTGTATTGATTTATTTTGCTTTGGCTATATTGATACAATATCCGAAAGCACTTTTTTTTCATTTTAGCTGATGACGAGATTATATCTTTTCCTTGTTTTAGTCTCCGGTTCTCTTTTGTTTTTTTAAAAATTTGACAATATTTTCTTTTGGCAACAGCCTCAAATTGTTGGAGATTCTGTATTAATTTTTTTTTCTATCATGAAAATTTTTAATATAAATGTGATTGAAGAAATAGCACTTATCTAAATTGAATGCAAATTATAGAGGCATTACACTTTTAAATCTTCTCCATACTACTGCATGACAGACTTGCTTCTTATACTTAAAATATTATTGGGAGCTAACAATACGGATTCTGAAAGGGAAAAGCTGATACTATGATTTAGTTTAGAATTCCATATAAACTAGTTAACCTTGTGAAGATTTCAAATGCAGAGTAAAATTTATGTCTGAACTATCAAAACATTTTTGTGCAGAGAGGTTTATTGCAAGGAGACACCCTCTCTTGCGCAATATTTAATATTGCTTTGGAAAAAGCAATTAGAGATGCCTATCTAAATACTAGGGGCACAATTATCCAAAAGTCTGTTCAAATATTGGCTTATGCAAATGATATTGATTTTTATGATTGGATGTACCAAACAGGTTACCTTAGAGGCTTTTACCAGGCTTGAGGCTTCTGCTAAAACATTCGGTTTAACTATTAATCAGGATAAGACAAAATGTATGACAATCAGTAATCAGCAGTTGAGGTTTTACCTCTTATGACTAATGATAATACATTTGAAGGGGTGAGGCAGTTTAAATACGTAGGCGTAATTGTTACAGTCAATAGTTATCAAAACAGAAACTAATAACAAGAATAATTAATAACAGGATAATAACGCTGGCTAATAAGTAAAATTTCTGAAAAAATTTCATTTTTTAAAGTGTCATAACTTTTTCAAAAATGAATCAATTTTCATAAAAATTTCAGAATATCATGTTCAGGTCTCCTACTTTCACCTAAAAATTACTAATTTAATTTATCTCAATTTTATGCAAAAATTTGCACATTTGAACAAAACAATTTTTTTTTTTTTTTGAAAAAAAATGTCAAGTCTGACAAGTTGCTATTTGGCGACAAAATTTTTTGCATACAAATTTTTTTTTCACATCAAAGTACAAGTCATTAACTTTAAAATGCGCTAAAGTAAATGACTTTATGATTTTTTTTGACAGAGATATGAGATTTTGAAANTCATTTATAGTGAAAAGTGAGTTGTGGCAGTATTTTTGGTGAAAATGAGATTTCAATTGAATTGAATGAAATCGATATCAAAATTTTATAATAAATTTGAATTGTTTATTCAAATTATATAATAAATTCCATATATAATAAAATGTTTATATTTATACTCAAAAGTATAAATAATTGGTTTTATTTATAAACATCTACATTCTCACTATTTAATGTTGTGAATTCGAAAATTATTTAGTATTATTTTTTTGCAACTTTCTTATTTGGATTAATTAATTTTTTTATTTAAAACATTATTACAAAAAGAACATTATTTGTAAATTTGCAATAACAATTTTAAAAAACGACTCAAGAAATTGTATGCATAGAATTGTCAGAAAATCAATAAAATGAAGAGAACGATATTTCATCTGACATTTGGACTGGAGGGACTTTACAGCTATTTTATGTTCTAGTCAATTTTCTTGTTATCTATAACGAAGTTTTTGCCCCGGACCACAGTTAGGCTAAGTCGGACCCCGGAAGAAATGGAATGCAAAGTTTTTTATTGCCAAAAATTAAACATTTCCTCAAGTTTACAACAAAAAAAAATCCCTAAATTTTTTAAGAATTTTTAAAGCTGTTGATCTTAACATTTTATAGGTTATAAAGTATAATTTATTTTGGCGAATCTGAATAAGTTATGTTAGCTTTGATTGATGTTATTTACACGGAGATTAATTTCAAATTTTGTGGAAAAGCAGAGGTTTTGTAAATTTTGAACTTCATATAATATCTTTAAATAACATGACAACGGAAAAAGTTTTAATTAGATAACAGTGTTTCTTATTATTTCTTCAATTGTTTTGCATTGTTCTTACTGCATATTTGTGTTTAGATTTGTATCCGAGGACCTAATGTTTTTAAAGGGTACTACAAGAATGCAAATGCTACAAAAGAAGTTTTTGATGAAGATGGCTGGTATCATACAGGAGATATTGGGAAATGGAATGAAGTTAGTCGAATTTCTCTAATTTTATATTTAAATTTGTAAATACTGCTTCATATTATATAGCTTTGTTTTCTTTATTACAGAATGGAACTTTATCTGTCATTGATAGGAAAAAGCATATTTTCAAACTAAGTCAGGTAATATGCTATTATCTTAATTTGTTGCTCACAACTTTTAATACTATTTTTTTTATGCTTAAAAAACTCTTGTTTTCTTATTTAAGAGGTGATAGTTTTATTTTATAGTCCTCGTTAAACAGATTACCCATTTTTAGGTGTACGGCTATCAATGTTCAACTCCGTAGCCTTTTATTTTATATTTTATAACCACCATTGAACAGCCAACCCAATTTTCAGGTTTACGACTACTAATGTTCAACTATGTAGCCTTGCTATTCTGAACCCAATCCAGGAGACAAGGGAACTCTTGGATCAAGTATTAGGAGAAATTTACCTCCGTGGAGGACTTTTTGATGGAACTAACCCGCATTTGCGTTACATGGAGAGGAGGACCACAAGAACCCCCCATGGTTTGCCTAACGGCAAGGGGACTCTAACCCGTGATAACCACTGAGGATATTTCACGTCAGCACTGTGGTCTGTGCAAGCCAGATGTGGAATTCGTATTGACAAGCCATTGCAGGGATTTGAACCCGGTTCACCTCATTGGAAGGCGAACGCTCTATCCCCTGAGCCATCGGGGCTCTACTCCGTAGCCTTGTCGAAAAAATGTTGTTATATATATCAATCCTGCCAACATCAGAGAAATAAAATAATGGAGATTTTACAAACCTACCCAATTTTGGGTTTACGACTATTGATGTTCAACTCTGTAACCTGGTAATTTTGAGCCCAAACCAGAAGAAAAGGGAACTACTGGATCAAGCAATGGGACAAACTATCCTTTGAGGTGGACTTTTTGAGGGCACTACCGTAAAATACAATTAAAAAATCGTCCAAGTTAAAACTGCACAATTGCAAGACGGAGTGTATGATAGTTGTAATATGTTTGGCATCGTGTTTTAAATCCCAAGTAAGCTGATGCCCCTCAATTCAAATCTGGGTGGACGTCAAGCTGCCACAGCAGATATAACTCTAATCCATCACAATGGCAACTGAGCATCTAACCAAATGAACAAAATAAATTTTAAAAATAAATGTTAAAAAAAAGTTAACAATAGAGGAATGAAGAAAATAATACAAATTATGCTCATATAAGGTTTAATCAATGAATCATACAATGTTAAAAATTAATTTTGTGGGGATAGTTGTTATCAACAATGTACAAAGTATGTACAATGTACAACAATGTACGAAGTATCTTTAGATACTTTGTGTATCTAAAGGTACCTCAAGATAGAATCAAGTTAACACATCTTATATACTAGTGGATTGAAGTAGATAGTGGTAGGCACACTGCATTACTCCCCCACCAGAATAATATCTGTGATAGAATTCAATGAACGGATACCACTAGTTGATTCATTGCTGTTTTGTGAGAAGCCGGGAGAGCTGTATTAAGTTCACGGTCGAGGTCGTTCGTGTGTTGCCATTAGCAGTTTAGTGTATACAGGTCAACGTTGTGTGTGATCGAGACTGAGTAGCAACAGCGCAATGAGGTGAATTATGTTGCAGTCACAAGTAGTAACGAGTCGACTTTTTAATACGGACCATCCATCAAAGTAGGCGTGTTCAAATCAAAGTGGGAGTTTCTGTCAAAGTAGGTGTGTTTGCATCATTTCCGGGTCAATATGGAGATAGTGGTTGTCGACAACGTCAACCTTCATCTATCTAAAAGTACCTCAAGATAGAATCAAGTTAACATGTCTTATATACTAGTGAATTGAAATAGATAGTGGTAGACACACTACAAATTTCAAAATTAATGTATTGTTTACAAAACCGGTTAAATTATTTTCTAGTGTCATTGCTCTAAATTCTGATTTTCGTGATTTAACTCCTTGATTGTTTTTATAGGGAGAATACATTGTTCCTGAAAAATCAGAAGGAGTGTACATGCAAAGTCCTATTGTGTCACAAATTTATGTGGACGGAGATCCTAATCAAGTTAGTTTTCCTTCTTGCATCTTTTGATTATTATTTATTTCCTTTTTAACTTTTGATTGAAATTTTGAATTAAAGCCACTTTATTAATTTTTGTACTGCTTAATATATGTATTTCCTTTATAAATATTCTGTTGAATGGTCTGATTTTAGGCATAAATTTGAATGATAACTGCTTCACATATTGATTCAATATCTCAACTAAAGTAATTTATGTCAATATACCTAAAACTTTGTGGCATAGGACAGTTGATAACATATGTAATATGGTGCGTAGTGTTTTCAAAAAGTGCTTATTTTTGATTTTCATTTTTTAAAAACTCTTAAAGGTGCTTTTTTCATTAGGTGTTTTTAAAAAGTACTTAATTTTTCTTTTTCCAAAAGTAGATATATTTTCTTTACCATGTTGATTTTTGCCATGAATTATGCAAAAATCGTGGTTTCCACATTGTTTTCTATTTAAAATTTTCATTATTCATTCAACCACAATCATTTTACATGTTTGATTAAATATTTGCGAGTCTGCATATACGTCTACTGAGCTGGGTTCAGGTAAGATCACTCTCATGTGCAACTCTGCAGCATTTTGCAAGATGTTCTCAATTTCAGACTTTGTTTTCTACCCTGTGTTCTGATATCGAAAATTGTGTTCTGATATCGAACTGAAAAATCTCTTGATCATTTTATAGCAGCTAATATAATCAAAGATTTCTTTATCAGAAACTAGTTGTTTTCTCGTGATCATGTAAAGTCTTTGAAAATTATTTTACATTTTGTCAATGTATGTAGTGCTTAAAAATATTTTTTGAGTGATTAAAGGGTGCTTATTTTTTGTTGAACGATTTGGCTACACACCCTGTAAGTAATAAATATAGTTTTTTATAGTATGATTAGTTATTGCTTTTTAATTTCATTGAAATTAATAACATTTGGGTATTTACAGGATTTTATAGTTGGAATAGTAGTACCTGATAGAAATCTTTTCATTCGTTGGGCCAAAAAGAAAGGTTTTCAAGAAATGGAATTTGAAACTCTTTGCCAAAATGATGTAAGTTTGAGCCAATTTTAGTGTAGTTATGCTTCAATTTTTTATGCTCCTATTTGCTGTCTTACTTTTTTTATATTCTTAAATAAGAAATATTTGTGACATCGTAAAATATTCACTGTAAAAATTGTAAAGTAAATTGTGTTTTGATTTTCTCTTATTACAAAAAAAAAGTGTAAAAAAATTATTCTGCTTAACTTTTATATTTTTGTTAAAACTTGTTCAATAACATTTATTTTATAAATATTGTGTATCAGGGGTAACTGTGAGACAAAGTGAAAAATCCATGCTATACATGTTTAATATGATTTTTTGAACTAAGATTTACAATTAAAATTAAATACCAATGAAGAATATCACACCCTTATAGTAACTCATTTAAGAGAAACTTAAAAATCTCAATATTGGATTTTAAGAGCGGGAAAATACAAATTGCGATATTGTATTTTTAAATTGCTGAATATAAGTAGCGAGTTTTGACTTTAATCTTATTCTTAGACTTAATCTTAATAATATTACAATTTCGACTTAATTTATGGTCTTGAAAAACGTGGAACTCCACAAGTTTTGCAGAAAAAAATCGCATACCCTGCCCCTAGTTTTTAAATCTGGAAGGATGGTATGAAAAATCCGGAATTCCGGGGTTCACCAGGAATGCAATCACCCCTAGTTTATATAAAAAATTTTGTTAAATTTATCAGGAAGCAGTTTTGAATCATTTAATCTCAATTTAAAATGAATGAAAAATAAAATTTCATTGTTTAAAATAATTTCAGATAATTTGAAGGTTTGCTAAAATATTGCTTAAATTTTTTTTTATCTATATATTGTTCCATTTTGTTTAATACTTTAAAGAATATGAATTAAATCAATGAATTTTATATTTCTGTCCCTTAATGCTTCTGTACTGGTCAGCAATATTTACTTAAAATAAAATTACAGCTGCCGTTTTTAAAAATAATTATTTAATTTATTCATTTTATGTAAAAGTATTTATTTTAATATTTTAGGATGTGAAGCGTGCAGTATTATCTCACTTGTTGAAACTTGGCCGAAAAAAAGATCTAAACTCATTGCATCAGGTTTGTATGAAATTGCTTTTTTTTTTCCTTTAAATTTTTTTTAAGAGTTTATTCTGTTATATTGGATTCAAATAGAATATTTGACAGTTACAACTGTAATTGTAGAAATATTTAAAATTGTTTAATTGACAAAGCAATTTAAAACGTCTAGTCCAAGTGTTTTCATGATTTTATTACATGTAGAATAGTCATCTAATTTGTGGATAATTTAAACTTATATTGTAAGGAATATATGATAAGGAATTATTTTTAAATAATTGAAAAGTTTAGTCCCTGTCAATTTGTCTATTCATTCATAATTTTTACTTTATAAATATTAAAACAAAATTAGTTGAAACTTTATATTTCCTGATTTTTGCTGTAGTCTCTCTTTAAACTAATGTGACATTTGTAGGTTTTAGTTGTCTTTTCTTTAGTGAATAAAGTTCTAATAATAAAGTTTAAACTTTCTATGTGTGTATATAT